TCAGAGTTAGAATTTATAGATCTAGATAATCACATGGATGTGAGGAGTGAGGAATCAAAATACACAAATAGTCTTTACATAGGATTTATCGTGTACCAAGAATTGTTCTAAGCAGTTGACATATATTGATTCATTAAATCCTCATCACAGTCCTATGAAGTACTAAGTATTATTATTTCCATCTTCAGATGGGAAAATTGAGGCACACAGAGGTTAAGAAGTTGCCCAAGGTCATACAACTGATAAGTGGCAGAGTCACACCCAGTTCGCCTGCCTCCAAAATCCATGAGTTTAGCCACTTGCCACAACTTCTCCAAGGTCTGAATTTGGGTGGGTGGTAACATGAAACAAGGGTAGGAACACAAGTGGAGTACATCTGGGGCTGGAGAAGGGAAGTGAAGAAGAGATAAATATTTGGTTTTCTACCTATTAAGTTTAAAAATTGCAAAGAGCATAACAGATGGAAATGCCCAATGGACAATTTGGAATATGTAAGTAGGTGAGGGTAGAGATTTAGATTTGGGATTGGTCAGGACAGAGGTGGTAGCTGAAGATGAGTGAAATCTTCTGAAAGGAGGAGAATGAGGGCCTAGAATGCAGCCTGAAAGAAAACAAAGTGAAGGCAGAAGAATGATCTGGAATGATTACTTGAAAATTAAACTATGTTTCTGGTGATTAGGAGAAATAGGCATATTCATATACTGTTAGTGGGTATGCAAATTGGTACAATTTGTTTACAGGGAAATTTGGCAATATCTAATAAATTACAAAATTCCCCTACCATTTGACCCAGCTATTCTACTTTAAGTTTATGCTGCAAATATACTCTTCCCCAGGACCAAAGATGTATGTTCAAGAGTGTTCACTTCAGCCTTCTTTGAGGAGGAAGAAAGGGAAGAAGGAAAAGAAGGCAGAGGAAAGGAAATCCCTAAATGTTCATTAATATTGTGTGATATTTCATTCCATAGAACTCCATGGGGTTATTCCATAAAAATGAATACCATGTGTTGTTATAAAGAACAAGGGAGATCTCTTATATGCAAAGATCACCAAGATATATCATATTGAAAAAGAAAAGTACAGAAGAATACATATATTTCTCTAGTGTAAATAGGCCTGCTGTGCCCTTTTCTATTTAACTGGTGGAAAAACAACCAATATAGGACATAGAATATCACAGAATCTCTTAAATTCTCAGAATGGAGGTAGAAAAATAAAAAATTCAAGGAACTAGTAGAGGTCACGGGAGGCACCTCGCAGGCAGTGACCAGAGCAGTAGCCTCACCCTCGAGTCACCTACCCCACTTGGCAGCTTGGCACACAGTGGTCATGAGCCATGATCGTGCTAAGAATTCCCTTGGGCAGCTGCATATGGAAGTAGGATGGGGAGAGCTCTAAAGGAAGAGAAGGGTGAGTGAACACAACCCTTAGGCTCCACTTTCTATAAGAAGCTCAAGACCCACAACAGAACCTTTGGGTCTGAGAGGCTATAGCTCAAGTGAATGCAGGAAAGGTCCAAACCAAGTTTGCCCTTGTGTAGTGGATAATCTGTTATTATATGTACATATGTAAATATATTTATAAAATATAAGTTAACACCACAGAATGTAAGGTTCGAATCAAAAACTGCTGGAGTCAGGGCCGGCCCATGGCTCACTTGGGAGAGCGTGGTGCTGATAACACCAAGTCAAGGGTTAAGATCCTCTTACTAGTCATCTTTAAAAAAAAAACAAAAACAAAAAAACCCTGCTAGAGTCAATGGATAATTTAAAGTGCTTAAAGTCTCAAAAAAAATATCAGTTTTCCTTAATAAGTGCAATTACCCATAGATGTACATAAATATACGAAAATCATAAGTTTATCCTCAAACAAGTGTAAGCACTCTACTATCTCTGCCATTAACAATGCCATTTTCAAAATCTTTCTTTTTTTTTTTTTTCCTTTTTGTCTTTTTTCGTGACCGGCAACGGATCACAACCCTCAGTGTCATGCCCGTACCGGACCGGGACCGGCAACGGGATTGCAACCCTCGGTGCTGTGCCAGCACCTCGCTCAGCCAGTGAGCGGCCGGTCCGTACGTGGGATCTGAACCCTCAGCGGGAGTGCCGCTGCGCTCTCAAGCGGCGCACTGTAGCAGTGCGCCACCGGGCCAGCCCCAAAATCTTTCAATAGTAAATGAAATATGATATTTCTTTCAACATCCCTCTAACAGCAGATGTTGTTTAGCCTCTGCTTAAGGATCTGGTTTCCTCAGTGTTTAACATAATTTGTACCTTTCCTAGGAGAGATGAAATGCTACCACATGGCCTACTTCCAGACTAGAATCATGGCACTTCTCTCTTCAGGAGAATGCAACAGTCTCCTGACAAGGTCACATACCTCAAACCTATATTAGATATAGGAAAATAGAAAAGGAAAGGAAAAATGGACTCTAAAGACTGTTACTACATAATTTCGTCTCTTGACCTTCCTTTAATAAAATGTATCTTGAAAAAGAACATATTAGCTACAAGTTTAGGAACAAAGTTTGGACTTATACATTTTAGCTTTCTACAACTAAACATATGCATATTTTTCAGAAAGATTAGCTATTTGAGATAATCAACTGTTTTAGAACATTCAAAATACAAGTTCTGCCACAGTATTTTGTTTCTCATACCTTGAGAAAATCATGGCCAGAAATTCCCAATATATGGCAAATATATAAAGAGTAAACATATCAGAATTCTTACATTTATGCTCATTTTGTTTTGAATATGAAAAATATTAAATAATGACTCAGTTTATTCACTAAATACAGTTTCTGGCACATGATAGGAATTCAGATTTCAAATACTATCATCACTGGTTGCCCACGAGTCAGGGGCTCCTCTCGCCCAACAAACTGGCCAGAGAGGCAAGGTGCATGGTCTAGAAAGAAACTAAGGGCCGGCCCGTGGCTCACTTGGGAGAGCGTGGTGCTGATAACACCAAGTTAAGGGTTAAGATCCCCTTACCGGTCATCTTTTAAGAAAAAAAAAAGAATAAGAAACTAGAGGGGGGCTGTGGGAAGGCCTGCACAGCACATGGAAACAAAGGTGACATCTTGGTCAGCAGAGCATCAAGAAAAAAGAAAGTCAAAAGTAAGATTATAGCAATGTGTTGAGCACAATACCAGGAAGGGGGCACCTTCACCAAAAAATTGGTGAATCCCTTAAGTGTCGCTAAAACAAAGCAATCTTCTGATTACAATTTTGCTTTCACACTAATTTTTCTAGAAGGAATGTGCCAACTAGTTGACTGAAGAAGTCCAGTCTGCTCAGCTATTACTTCCCAATGTAAGTTATTAAATTGACACTCACTGTACACTTCAATCCACTAATAAATTAATCAGTCTAACTTGCCCAGAGCTGTCACTTTGGGGCATGTATTAGTTTGCTACGGCTACAATAATAAAATACCAGAGATTGGCTGGCTTAAACAATGGAAATTTATTTCTCACAGTCCTAGAGGTTAGAAGTCCAAGACCAAGGTGTCAGCAGGTTTGGTTTCTTCCGAGGCCTCTTTGACATGCAGATGGCCACCTTCTCACCGTGTCATACATGACCTTTTCTCTGTGCACACACACCTGGTGTTTATATGTACAAATTTCCTCTTCTTATAAGGATACCAGTCATTTTGGATTAGAACCCACCCTCATTTTAACTCAATCACCTCTTTGAAATACAGTCACGTAGTGAGGTACTGATGGTTAGGGCCTCAACATATGAGTTTGGGAGACCACAATTCAGCCCATAACAGGGCATATAGATAAAGCTCAAGTTTCTGGGCCTATGAAGAAGAGGGCAAGACTCTGGCCCACAATAACCAATGGAGAACTGTCCCTGTTAAATCCCACCTGACGCAACAGCCACAACTCCTTTCATCCATAGACAATATAACGAACATGCATTTTTCTCTCACTACATTCTGAGCTTTCATGTTCTTTTTATAAATCTTTTACATTTCTTCATCTTCATCAACTAGTCTGCATTCTATTTGGCAACAGACTATGTAAGTCCTAACTAATGTATTCACTCATGCATCCTTATAAGAGAAATTCATTTTAGTTCAATTTTCCTGTACTGGATTTACTGGGTCCAAAAACGAGATCTTAGAAATAACAGCCAACTTCCCTGTTCTTCTTTTTAATTATCAATTAGGTGTACTTGGTTCTGTAAGTGGAGTTCTGAGTAACATGTACATCAGAACAATGTTTACCTGAAGAAGGCTGCAATGAAAAGTCCTTAGTTCCCAACCCACCAATATGAACAATGAGAAAATGGACAGAACAAGTACCGTGCCATTAATGTTCGCTAATAATTATTAGTTGATGAATTGGATTAGTGATAACTGGATACTTTTTTAAAATGGGAAATGGCAGGAAGGGATGAATTGAACATGAAAAACTGGGAGCTCTGAAGGCCCAGAAATTGATCCTAAGATAGAGGCTGATTATAAACATAGTAGCAATAGCAGCTGCTGCTACATCACATTTCAGAGTTCCTAACAATTCTCCTAAATTAAACTTTATGACCAGAAGTCCAATGGCAAACTGGCAAAAACAAAATACATTTTATAGTACTTTAATCATAGACAAGCATATGCCTACCAGCATCCTAATATTATGGTAGAATAGTATATATGATATAAATATTAAAGTTGTGAAAGTAAATGTACTAAATCATAGTTTTTAAAATAAAGATTTTCTATTTAGAATTTCAGAACTTACACACTACATTTTTACTAAAGTACAACATATATGTCTCTATATTTTTTAATTTAGTATACCTTAGCTGTCTTGAACATGTAAATATACCCCAACAGAGACTGAATTGTGGTTTAGGGAAGCAGAAACATTTGTGCAGCAGTCTAGCTCTCCACATCTATTAGTGTTAATTGGGTCAAATCCTTCTTAGAAGTGGACAGCTTATAAATAATAAAAGAACTAAATATGCATAAGTAATTCAAGACACTACAAATGACACTCAAACATCTTTTTATTATATACTAAATTTAAAAATACAAATCTTATTAAAAATGCTTATCAAACATTGTATACATAAGTGCTGTCAAATACTATTGGATTCTGACATTATGTACATTGCTAAAGTTATTTAGAAACAAAACAAAGTAGCATAACTTTGCTGATATTGTATTTCAGAAGTCAAATGCTTTAAAATTTGGCAACTGTGAAGTAGTGATTTGCACAGGAAGATGTTTGCAGAGGTAAAATAGCAGGAAAACAACGGAATCATGCAGGTACTCCTGCTCTAAGTGTTAATAAGTAGCTTTCTTCCTCATCTTCTTAAGTCTTATTGTAACAGAAATTAAAGTGCACAAGACCATCAGGAATACTTGATTTGGCTGTACCCTAAATATTTACTAGTCAATTGTCCCGTTGTATTGAGGGTTTCAATTCTTTGTACTGTTCCTGAGGCTTTGGAAGTTAATTTTGACTGTGGCTAAGGGAAGGTGGGCCAACACTTTCTAAATTGCACCAAATGGCCTTAAAGGTGAAAACACCAAAGATAAAAATATTAATTTGAGAATAGATTCAAGGAAATTATCCCTGTCTATTTTGCACTAGGAAAATAGTTTTCCTAGGAAAACCTAGTTTTACCTCTGGAAAATGCTTACTAAAAATCTGTCTCAAAAGATCAGACATGTACAGCAAGCACCACAATACTGTCAGTTACTGTTCACTAATTATATACTGTGTCATAAATACCAGGTATAAATACCTACCCTCTAAAGGGTCACAAGAAATAAAAGTAGAAGCATGTTATCGCTTGACACTAATTTTACTAATTAACATTAAGTATAATTTGTAAAAATAGGTCATCACCATACAATCAAGGAAGAGGAGAAGGAAAGCTGCTATTCTACAAAAGTGCTCCTTTTAGCTTTCAAACCAAATAGCTTACTTTGGGGTAAAACAAGATTGTAAAGTAATGTCATCCGTTCTAAATAAGCTGATGATGCCGTATATACATACTCACATATATATGTTTAAATTTCAATTCTGATTTAACACTAAAGGACTAATACAAACCATTTATAGGAAACATTTTATCAGTCTTATTTACAAACACATGATGAACGGCAAAGATACGGGAAATTCTTTAAATTGGAGATAAATGTAGTCATAGTTCACTAAAGAAAAGACAAATTTGCACGACTTTTTTTAAAAACCAAAGAAAAATGTTTAGAAAGAAACCCTTCCATATATACCTATTGGTCATTGGACCTAAGAGGCAAATAAATGTAATTATCATGATTAAACTTTTATTACTATTTCTTTTAATAACATATCAATATGAGGTCTACTTAGAGTACTACCTACAAATATACATTCTCTCATGATTCAATGAGAATATTAAGTTATTGAATACATTTTTTTACTCCTGTGGCACATCACACTTGGTAACACTAATAGGGTAGTTTAGATAACACTTAAATCATAATTATGAATGTTTAATTGAATATTTTCCTTTCTGTAACTGTGAAATGTAAAGCTTAGATTTGCTTCCATCAGGCCTCTTAAACCAAACTTCATCATGGTTAATTGTTGTAATTATGGCACTAAAAAGGAAAAAAAAAAAAAAAGAATGAATTAATTAATTACAATATGCCTCCTCAACTGTTTTAAATTACTAGCTATAAAACCAAAATATCTGTACTACAATAGTAGATTCAGGTATATAATTGGCATTTACTGTCTTACCAACAGACATGCTATCAAAAATAACACATTCAGCAACACTAAACAGATAACTTCCTTTCTTAATAGAGTTGATAAAATTTACTTTACTTTCTACTAGAACTATTAAATGCATACTGTTCCTACTTCAAACCACCACAACCCACACAAAAAAAAAAAAACACAGTGGGGCTAAAAAAAACAGCACTACTTATATGGCATTATACACCCAACTCATATCAGCCTTGGCTATAGGAAATCTTTCAAATACTAATCCCTAATTCCCAGTGTCAAACCATCTATGGTACTTACACAAATTTTTGGTTTTTTACATTATTAATGTTTACATAGAAATTTTTTAAAAAATAGATTTATGTTTTATGCTCTTTTACGCTATTTTACCTTTTTATGCTAAGCAGTAGCAAAATGTCTCAAAAGAAATAAAATAAAGAGAAGAATTCAGGAGTATCATAAATAACCCAGAAATCAGCTCAATGAGCTTCTATGAGAAAAGTTACCACACGCAATGTTCCTGGAATCCTAAAAATTTAAAGATGAAATTATAATCCAATTAAAACTACTGTATCTGGAAAATGAGTATTCTAGACTAAACTCAAATGCTTTATTTACCACTGATACCTAGAAAAAGATATTTTCTTACTGTAGAAGGTTAGTACTCTGAGAATTGAATCCTAAACTTCTGAAGGAATAAAAGCAGTGATTAACATCAACATTTTCAAAAGGTCACAAACAAAACTTAGAAGACTATATAAATAACTATATAAACTTTATTTAAGCCTAGACAAACTGAGACTTTTTTTTTTTTCCTTTTTGTCTTTTTTCGTGACCGGCAATGGGATCGCAACCCTCAGTGTCGCGCCCGCACCGCGCTCAACCAGTGAGCGGACTGGTCTCTATATGGGATCCGAACCCTCAGCAGGAGCGCCACCGCGCTCCCAAACACCGCACTCTACCGAGTGCACCACCGGGCCGGCCCCAAACTGAGACTTTTTTTTTTTTTTTAAAAGATGACCGGTAAGGGGATCTCAACCCTTGGCTTGGTGCTGTCAGCACCACGCTCAGCCAGTGAGCCAACCGGCCATCCCTATATAGGATCCGAACCCGCGGCCTTGGTGCTATCAGCACCGCACTCTACCGAGTGAGCCACAGGCCGGCCCCAAACTGAGACTTTTAAAAGGCAGTTTGTTTTCAAGTTACTCTTTAATTACTATTACTCTGAAGGTTTTCATTAATTTTCCATTTCTTTCCTACTCTAATTGATATGAATTCTTTTTATCCAAAATACTATAACACAACAAAAACAGCTAAGGATTAATAGGTCCACCAAAAATTCATGATAGTCTGGCTTAAAGGTCATTCTATTAGGATCATATCAATTCATTCACTAAAGAATTAACATACAGGATCACTTACCTGGCTAAATAATTCCAACATTTCCACTCGTGTTAATACTTCTATTCATAAACAATATGAAGTCTGGTGTATAATATTAACACTGGTATATACACATGTAATCAAATCACACGTAAAGTTAAAAAAAAGGATCCACAGACAACTAGTGTACAGTTGACCCATGAACAACTCAGGTTAGGGGTGCTTACCCCTGAGCAGTTGAAAAGCCAGGTATAACTTCTGACTCCCCCAAAACTTAAGTAGTAGTTAAGTTGTTAAGTACTCAATAGCTTACTAATAGCCTACTGTTAGGTAGGCTACTTAACTGTTTTCTATGTCATGCCTAACCAAAAATTTTGCAATATATTTATTGAAAAAAATCTGCAATAAGTGGACCTGTGCAGTGCAAACCTAAGTTGTTCAAAGATCAACTCTATGAATGTAACTACATATTATGAATGCACTAAAGAGGCAGCAAACACTTATGGACAACAATGTTGTACACTATAATACTCAGCAACACTGAAATGACCAAGGCGTTTTACCTTGTAGGACATTCATCTTTTTTATCAATACATATTGTTTGTCCACGTATATACCATTCACCATCATAATATAGTCTTCCCTCTTCAGATCTAGCACTGTGCAGATGTTTTTCCAGCTTCACAGGTGCTAAAGGGATCAGTTCAAAAACTGTTACATTAATAAGATGTTGTCAGAACAACAAAAGGGTCAGAACATTAAGAATTAGTACCAATCCATGCATATATGTTAAAAAAAATACTAAAAATATTTCTTAGATAACAAACCTAAAAGATAATAAAAACAAGAGAATTCGATTTCTTATATTCTTTTACATAAGTCACTGAGTTTTTAATATAACTACCAAACAAAGCTAAACAATAAACAAAAAATCATCAATTAACAGGAAAAGTTCCAGAAGGGGAAGCAGGTACATTATCAATTACTAGTGCCAATTTTACGTAGTATTTAAAACATCAATTGCCATATTTCCACTGAAAAGTATACTTTCCATATTTTCCTCCTGCAGGCATCTGACACTTCCAAAGAAGTTTAATATATATTCCGAATGTTTCTCAGGCTTTCTAAAAAGGAAATATCCTAAGTAGAACTTCCATTTTTAAATCCCAGAAATGGTTTGGCGTTAGTCAGATAAACTCATGCAGGAAAAAAAAAAAAAAAATTCTCTATGGAAACACATTGTCAAGAGCATACCATAAGTAAGCAGCTCTTCATCATTCAAATGTCAACCCTTCATAGAGGTCTTCCCCAACCATTCTACCCACTCCTCAGTTAATCATCACCACAACTTCATATTACTTTTTTTTAATTTATACATATTTGTGGGGTACAGAGTTGACTATCAATATCTGTCAACTTCATATTTCCTTCATAGCCATTATTACAATCTGTAACTATCTTAATTACTTATTTACATATATATTATTCTGCCTCCCCCAAAGAGGCTCCAGGATATCCATTTTCCTTCACCACTGTATCCCCAGATCCTAAAATAGTGCTTGGTATATAGACGGTGTTCAATAAGCATTCATTCATTCCTTCAATAAATGTTGTCTATGCACTTCCTATACCCAAGGAACTGTGCTGGGTACTAGGAAAAAACAAAACAAAATTGTGACTAAAAGAGATACCATTCTAGCCTTTGTGGAACTTAAAAATCCAGTCAGGAAACAGACAAACAAGTATAAACAATAATAAACAAAAAAGTGCAAACTGAGGTAAGTGCTATGAAAAAAACTAATAGGATACAATGCTAAACATATCAAAAGTGGGGGAGATACCCACTCAAATAGAGTAATGAGACTCTCAGAGACTCAACCACTGTTCTAGAGATTGAGGCAGTTGCCCTTACAGTTAATTACCAAGGGCAGTACTTTAGTACAATATTACTGCAATTTCCTAACATGATACAAAGTTTATAGGAAACCTTGGATTAAAGATAAAATGGAAATTGATTTCATAGATTTTTTGTTGGAATGTGACTAGATATTCCTTTTCTTAATATTCAAAACATATCTCTTAAAAATCTAGCTTTATTGTCTTTAGAAGGATTGGGAAATCTCATCTATAGTGAATGAGGCAAAAACAGCAAAAGTTATCCTAGACACTAATGTCTATTACAACTTTGGCAGTAACTTTAGACTTTCAAAAAAAAAAATCAGGAAAGTGTAATTTGATGTGAATTTTAAGGCATGTCAGAATCTTAGTGGTGGATAAATTTCTTTGATGGACTCTGCTGTTAGCATTCTAATCTCTCTTCTCAGAAAATCCACACAAACAAGAAATTTTTAACACAATTTTAGAGGAGGATTCACAGACTACCTTAAGCCAACCCGTGAATTCCAAACGCCTCCCCTGTAGAATTACTGGGCCTATAAAAAATATTGAATAAATACATTTTGAATTACTGATCCATTATTAGCAATAGCAATGTAGCTGAACTTTGAAAGAAGAAATATACTGCATCCAGAGATTTTGAAAATTTAACATGAAGTAAAGACTCCAGAAAAATTCCTGTTTACTGATGAAATAAAGTCACTGACTGGGGAGTTCTTTAGTGTGTAGATAATTTAATAACCCTGATCTAACAAGTCTCCATAGAGAATATTTCTCAACTTAGACTAAATGACTTACGTTCTGTTTTCACTCTGTGTGGACCCAGTGTAGCCATTGCCTTAATTAAAAAAATAAAATAAAAAAGGAAGAAAGAAATTGTCTGAGTTTACACTGAAAATACAAGGGGGTCTTCAAAAAGATCATAAAAAGATTCATATTATCTTTTTTTTTTCCTTTTTGTCTTTTTTCGTGACCGGTAACGGGATCGCAACCCTCGGTTTCGCACCCGTACCGTGACCGGCAACGGGATCGCAACCGGCAATGGGATCGCAACCCTCGGTGTCGCGCCCGCACCGTGCTCAACCAGTGAGTGGACCGGTCTCTATATGGGATCCGAACCCTCGGCGGGAGCGCCGCCACACTCCCAAGCGCCGCACTCTACCGAGTGCGCCACTGGGCCGGCCCCCATATTATCTTTTAATTCTCTATTTTTCCAAAAACTTTTTGAAGCACCCTCGAATATTTTGGAATCTATTTAATACACACAACACTATTGATTAGTTCAATAACAAATACAATAAAATATAACCATTAGCTGCTCTAGTAAACTTTTAATGTCCATAAAGAATAACAATTTCTCCTAGAGGTGTTATCAATACCTGAAATAATCTCTAACTCTCAACTTTGAAGTTTATAAAAACAGAAATGTTTAATAAGGAAAATAAGTCTCCACTTTCAACCAAGCACAGAAAAGCCTATAATTCTTCAGTGTTTAATGATTGAAGGCAAGACACATAATGAGAGTTCAAATGTTCACTTTTGTTTATTCAACAATTTTCTTTGGGGTGGGTCAGCGGCTGGCCAGTATGAGGATCCAAACCCTTGATGTTGGTGTTATCAGCAACACGCTCTCCCAAATGAGTTAACCAGCCAGCGCTCATTCAACAAATATTTATTGACTGCTTTCTGTCTTCTATGAACCAGGACCAGGCTAAGAACTAGGCACAGAATGGTGATATTATTACTATTATTATTATTATTATTATTAGGCAAACTAAATAAATGCTTTTCTGCATTTATGTATAAAGTATGAATTATATTATTATAGAAAAAATACAATCAAACTGCTGACATGTCTCTAATTCTTAAGATATTCCTGCAGTCTACTCTCATCTGTAATAGTATTAATTGCCTTAGAATGCTGCAAAAGCAAAGCATATTTACAATAATCATATTTTGACATATTAGTGAAAAACCATAGAATCTTGAAAAGTAGACTATAAAAATGTAGTAATGTTCCATTGATCTTTAATCATACCTTCCTAATTGTTGTCCAGTCTTCAAGAATATCAAGATCTTGCAGCATATAAACTATATATGGACGTTGAAAAGTCAAGGTCAATTTAGCTGTAAGAATAGCACACTTTGAATTATATTTCCAGAGTTCTATTTTTCAGAGAATGGAACAATGATTTATGTACATAATCCCTTGGCATCCTGAATTCTGACTTCAAATTATTCTTCTAAAAACTTAGCACCAGGATAAATACATTCTATTACTTCTGATGCCATACCCATATTCTCTTAATTCTAAGATATCACTGATTGTAAGATACACCACCAATGTAATCACAGTTTTTAAAGTGGAGGGGAAAAGGATGGGGTCAGGGAGAGGTTACCATAGGAAGTTCTAAGACTGAATGCACATATTAGTTTAATTTAAAGACACTCCAATTTCAGAAACATTAAAAATGTTTTTTAAATGTATACATAAGAATTAAACAATCCTGTTGTATACTAACCAGCTGTTTAACATCAAAGCCCTTATAAACCATAAAGCCATACTAATTTTCAAAGCTAAGATCATGATTAAATTTCTTCTCCTCCCCACCCCTCTTAAACTAAACTATACCCTCTGCCTTCAATCGGTTTCATAAATCATCTTTTGCTTATTACAGGACCATGTAAATAAAGTCAATGTGTACAAATAAAAGTTACAAAGGTATGCACAATGCAAAAACGTACATCAAGGAGAAAGAAATAGAAAATTTGGAAAAGGATATCTGAAACAACAACTGGCTTCTTTTTGTCAGGACTGAAAGGATCCTTTCTCTTTTTTCTTGACTGAAGCTCATCATTCCACAGCTCTGGCAAGTAAATAAAAATTAAGTATTAGGTGATTTCTGGTGATAAAAGGAGGAAAAAAGACTATATAATTCCATGGTGGATATTTATTTACACATAAAACTGTACAAAACTTCATTGGCAGCCATGTATCTATCCATAAGACTGTACATAATATCATGAGCAGCTATATATTTATGACTTTTCCTCTGCCTTTATTAAAGCAAAAAATCAATTTGGCACTTAATGACTAATAATTGATGAGCAGATATCAGGTACTTTGTAAAATATATATTATGTGCACTGTCTCACCTAACCCTCAAAGCTACCTCTGAGGTAGGTTTTCTTATTACTTTCCTTTTACAGATAAGGAGACTGATTTAGAAAAGCTAAGTACCTGTCCATGGCCATCCAACTAGCATATGTGAGGGAGCACTGGCATTACAGCTCAGCTCATCTGACTCCACTATGCCTATTCTATACCACAGAAATAAAATTTACAACACATAAAATAATATATATTCAATAACTGTAGGATAACCTAGTAAACCTTCCACCCAGTGTAGAAAACCTTTCCATAACACCCCTGAAAAAGCCAATTTCACATTAGGCCGATCTAATTATTAATGTGTTTCCTCTTTGTGAGACAAAAATCTGTTTCCCTATAACTTCTACCATTTGTCCAAGTTTCTCTAACAACAGAGAAAGGTTTTTATTCCTTCTTCTATACAACAGTTGTTCAAGACTTAGAAGAACATATACTGTAGCTGTCTTCCAACACTATTTTTATAGTAAATCCTATCACACTTCTATTTTGTCCCTTTTCATATGCTCTATTTTTTATAGCTTTCTGAAGTGTGAGTTTAAATCAAAGTAACAGTTGGGCTGGCCCGTGGCTCACTTGGGAGAGTGTGGTGCTGATAACACCAAGGCCACAGGTTTGGATCCCTATATAGGGATGGCCAGTTAGCTCACTTGGGTGAGCGTGATGCTAACAACACCAAGTCAAGTGTTAAGATCCCCTTTTTGGTCAAGAAAAAAAAAAAAAATCAAAGTAACAATCACATCGTAAAAAGTTATTTAGAAGCCTCCCCCTTCCCCCCTCCTTTGGGACATTTCGTTTACTTAACATTAATATTAGAAGACTAAGATATTATGAGATACTACAGTAAACCAAAGATTCAGTGTCACTCAAACATCACAGTCCCACCATCCCCCTTACCTGAGGTGATATCAATGCTGTGCCTATCCTCTTCAAGCCTTCTTATCTTCTCCTCTAGTTCACTCTGGACTGTATCATATAACAGAAGCTTTTCACTCTGGGGAAAAAAACCCAAAAAACAGATTATACTTAAGTAGAATGAAAAAGCTGGTCTATCTTAACTAAGAGTAGCCAATTACTTAATTTACTCTTAAGGTTCTGTTTTTTATGTTTTGTTTTGTTTTGTTTTTTGGTGGCTGGCCCATACAAGGATCCAAACCTTTGATCTTGGTGTTATAACAACACGCTCTAACCAACTGAGCTAACTGGCCGGCCCTTAAGGTACTTTAATATATGGTGCTTTTGTTTGCTTTTTTAGTTCAACCTAAAAATTTTAAAGAAATGTCAAATATATGAAAAGTAATAAAAGTAGAAAATATAGAATCCCAATATAGATTTAACTACATGCAATTACATTCTGTTTAAGAACATTTAAATTTATATGTGATAAAGAGGTAAATATTTACATTATAAAAAACTTATAACAAGCTCTCATGGTCCCTTTTACTATAGTAGGTCCCACCTGTCACCATAATGGAGAACCTATCCTATAAAGTATATCATTATAAAACAGATCATATTTTTTCATTGGAATGATAATTGGGCCTTTATTCCTCCCTAATATCTCAGTATCATATTAAAATGGACTAATATATCACAAAAACAAAGATTCAAATACAAATGTTATAATCACTTAAAATAATTCAATTACAGTCAAAATTATCTACTAATCATATCCAAATCTCTACTCAAAACTAAAGAAAGATTGACTTGCTAAAACAGACAGGACAGGGGCCGAGCCCGTGGCGCACTCAGGAGAGTGCGGCGCTGGGAGTGTAGCAGCATTCCCACCACTGGTTCGGATCCTATATAGGGATGGCTGCCGCGCTCACTGGCTGAGCGCGGTGCGGCCAGGCTCAAAAAAAAAAAAAAAAAGTCAGTTATTATGATGCCCAATTCTTCAAACATAACCAGTCACACTACAGTGTCCAAAGAGAATGAAGTCTGCAGGGGAACTGTATTAGTCTGTTTCTGTTACTTATTACGAAATACCTAGAACTGGGCACTGGGACCCAGGTTTACTAGTTCTGGTCCATTTTTTTAAATTATATAATACTGTAGCCCTTATTTAGAAAGCCATACAATGTACTACATATAATAAACAAATTGTTTACATAAAAAGCCTATGACAGATTCCCAACCCACCTACCACATGCTTATCTCTAGTAAGGATATTAGACTATTGGGATATAGCTAGACATGATTGTCTTGTGGAAGCTATTGGGATATAGTTAGATATGACTTCTTGTGGAAGACAGGCCACACCCGTGTAGGCAGCATTCACAGTGTCAATCATGAAGTGTGAAATGTAGAGTCTACTCATGCTTGAAGATTCTCCTGAGTGGTAGGGAAAAGATGGCTTTTGTCAACTTGTGGCAAGCAAGGAGCTAGACGGAAAGCAAAGCTGAAGAAGACTAAAACTAGACCTCATATGACAAATTGTTTCACTGCATGTTGCTCTCTATGCTTACTTCCTTCTGCTTATCCTCCTGCCTTTGAAAGTCTTCTAAAATATTATAGCCTCATCAACATTGTGCGACAAGAATTGGGAAATATTATATATCAGAAAAAAAGGAGAGCAGACCCCCTCCATGGTCAAGACAGTATAGGAGCTATAAATAGATCTAATTTCCCCAACCAAAGAGGACTCTAAATACAGAGCTGGAGTAATAAGGCTTTTAAGAATATGAAAGTTTAACTGGTGTAGTCTCTTTCCTTCCTATTGACAAATTTGCCCTAGGCCAAGCATAAATTCTTTTTTTTTTTTTTTTTTTTTTTGGTGGCTGGCCAGTATGGGGATCCAAACCCTTGACCTTCGTGTTACAAGCCTATGCTCTAACCAACAGAGCTAACTGGCCAGCCCCTCCAAGTAGAAATTCTAAAATTAAATCTACTACTCATTTTTTATAATTAAAAAAAGCCAGAGAGGGACTGAAATGTTTGAAGCTTTGAAGGCATCTCTAAAGATATTCAAGGCACACTTTAAAGTGTACAGACAGAAGTGCCTTGAATCTATTCTCTTCTTCCCCTTTTTTTAGTCTTTCCCTTTTCTTCAACTTCACAAGATCTTTAAAAGGCTCCCCAGGGGCCGGCCTGGTGGCGCACTGGAGAGTGTGCCACTTGGGAGCGCGGAGGCGCTCCCGCCGAGGGTTCGGATCCCATGTGGAGACCGGTTCCCGCTCACTGGCGGAGCGCGGTGCGGGCGCAACACCGAGGGTTGCGATCCTGTTGCCGGTCCCCGGTATGGGCGCGACACCGAGGGTTGTGAGCCCGTTACCGGTCAGTAAAAAAGACAAAAAGGAAAAAAATAATAATAAATAAATAAAATAAAAGGCTCCCCAGGGGCTGGCCTGGTGGCGCACTGGAGAGTGTGCCACTTGGGAGCGCGGAGGCGCTCCCGCCGAGGGTTCGGATCCCATGTGGAGCCCGGTTCCCGCTCACTGGCGGAGCGCGGTGCGGGCGCAACACCGAGGGTTGCGATCCTGTTGCCGGTCCCCGGTATGGGCGCGACACCGAGGGTTGTGATCCCGTTACCGGTCAGTAAAAAAGACAAAAAGGAAAAAAATAATAATAAATAAATAAAATAAAAGGCTCCCCAGCAGAGAAAGGGAAGTGATAATAGAGCAGCTAGAGGATACCTGGAAAAGAGAGGGGCATCCAAACTCCCTTGCTTTGGTGCACATAGAGGTTTCTATGTTCAATAGGCAATTTAGTTTTTTAAAAATACTACTTGTAAGTACACACTTGGCTTCAAGATCCCACATCCCTCCAAATCTCCACATCTAGACTTACTGAACCTGCACTAAGCCCTTTCCCAGACTGACACTCATCAGGGCAGCTTTAGGGAGCCCCAGGAAAGTAGCCCCAAGGTTCCATTTTTGTATCAATCTCACATTGACCTATGTTCGGAACCAACTCCTCTTTTGCAGTTCCCTGTCTTAAGTACCTCACAGTTCCCAACTTCCATCAGGACTGGAGCCTTGGGAGATTTCCAAGGACTAGCCTTATCAGAGAGTGACACATATTTAAAAGTTACTATAGTTTTTTTTTTTTTTTTAAGTGTACTGCACTGGAATAAAAAAAAAAAATATGCAGAATAGAATTTAAACTCAGAAACAGACCTTGGTTATGGGAAAATGATAAAGGTAACTTTTAAATCACCTGAAAATTTGGTGACAATAAATGACAATAGAAAAATGAGTTTAACTATATACCAAAGATTCTTTGCCTTACATTATACATAAAAATAAATGAGTTATAGAGTTAAATTTATAAAATGGAATCTAAAAGAAAAAAAGAAATAAGAAATTTCCTAGAACTGAAGATATGAATTTCCTGATTAAAAGGTTCCTCTGAGTATCCAGTACAACAAATAAAAAAAGACCCACACTAATGCACATCATCTTATATTCCACAAAACACCAAGGATAAAGAGAAGACTCTAAAGGTATTCAAGAAGAAAACAGGTCACATACAAAAAAGTCAGGAATCAAAATAATAGGAGACTTCTCAAAAGCAACACTGGAAGCAAGAAGACAATGAAACAATGCCTTCAAAATTCTGAGGAAACATAAGTATCATTTAGAATTCCATACTCTTAAGTGTGAGTAAAGAAGTTTTTGGACAGGAAAGATGTGATAGTTTTAAAACATATCAAATAATTCTTTGACACTCGTAATTTCAAAAGGTAGATACTAATTCCTCTCTCCTTGAACGTGGAGAGGCCTCAGTGACTCACTTCTAATGAACAGAATGTGGCAGTAATCGAAGTCACAAAATACATCGTCACTATGGAGAACTCAGCCACCAGGTCATTAGGCCACTCAATCAGCCTGTGGAGAGGCCCACATGGGGAGAACTAAGGCTTCCAACCAAGATCCAGCAACAACTTGTCAGCCTTGTGAGTGAGTCACCTTGGAAGCAGATCCTCTGGCCCCCAGTCAAGCCCTCAGATACTGCATCCCTGACTGATATTTTCACTATAACTTCATGTGTTTCCCTGAGCAAGAACCCTCCAGCTAGGTTGCTCCCAAATTCCTGGCCACTGAGACTACTAAATAATAAATGTTTATTGTTTTTCTAAGCCACTAAGTTTTGGAGTAATTTATTTATTTTTTATTTTTTTTAATTTCATCTTATTTTACTTCTCAAAATACATTATACTTGATTTTCATGCCCCTTTACCCATTTCTCTTCACCCCCTTCCCTACCCCCCCACCCCCCACATCGTATCTGTGCACTTGGCTTAAATAGTTCAAGGAACTTTTGTGGTTATTCTGTCTTCTTCCCTCCACCCGTTGTTTGTGTGTTTATTTATTAATTTTTAGCTCCCACAAATAAGTGAGAACATGTGGTATTTCTCTTTCTGTGCCTGACTTGTTTCACTTAATATAATTTTCTCTAAGTCCATCCATGTTGTTGCGAATGGTAGTATTTCATTCTTTTTTATAGCAGAGTAGTATTCCATTGTGTAGATATACCACAGTTTCCTTATCCACTCATCAGATGATGGATAATTGGGCTGGTTCCAGCTCTTGGCTATTGTATATAGAGCTACAATAAACACCGGAATACAGGTACCCCTTCGGCATGATGATTTCTATTCTTCTGGATATATTCCCAGCAGTGGGATTGCTGGGTCATATGTTAGATCTATCTGTAATTGTTTGAGGACCCTCCATATCATTTTCCATAAAGGCTGCAGCATTTTGCAGTCCCACCAACAGTGGATAGGAGTTCCTTTTTCTTTGCAACTTCTACAACACTTATTGTTCTCAGTCTTTTGAATATTAGCCATCCTAACTGGAGTGAGAAGATATCTCAGTGTGGTTTTGACATGCATTTCCCAGATGCTGAGTGATACTGAGCACTTTTTCATGTGTCTGTTGGCCATTTGTATATCTTCCTTTGAGAAATGTCTGTTCAGCTCCTTTGCCCATTTTTTAATTGGGTTATTTGGTTTTATGTTGTAAAGTTGTTTGAGTTCCTTGTATATTC